ACGTTGCATACGATAAGGTCGATTTCTATCCGACGAGGCTCATATTATGTTAACATTTTGAAAAATAAACATGAAAATGAGTACTTTCACTATTGTGAATATAAGGTTTTCTAAAATATACTTATTAATAATGTTTCTTGTCTTCGTTGAACAACAATTGTATGAAATAAAATGCGGCTTTTGAAATTCCAAAAATGTCCGGTTTACATTTCATAATACAAGTGCACTTCCGTTAAAAACAAACAGGTGGGGATTTATTGCCCGGTGTGAAAAACAAAACCTTCTGAAAAGCGAACAAACTATTAAGAAAATCTTAAAGAACGATCTTTCAAAGTGTTTTGGACTACAGGACGCCTATGGCTTATGTACAAAGATGGTAAAATGTTCTGCACTTTCTGTAAGGAAGCTGGTGTGGTTTCTGATTTTGGGGGGTCCACCAGCTTTTGAATTGACTCGGTAAAAAAAACGAGAACTCCGACAGTCACAAGCATTCAATTGTCGTTGTAACCAAAAAAACCAAAGAGGTATGTTTTATAATTTATTGTCATAGATTTGAATCAATAATTTCCTAAATCAATATGATCTTGTGGAAAGATAGAAAAAAAGAACCTATAATATATGGGTATTTTCTTTTGGCAGAGCAAAAAAAAAAATTTTATTCTTTATTATTAGCCTGGTACACGGCCTGAAGAAAAAGCACTTCAAAAACTGAATAAAGAAAATATAGAAAAACTTACCATTTTATTCAAAACGTCCCATGCACTTGCTAAAATTACAGGCCTTATTGTGACTTTCAGTGGATTTTTGGGTTTAGGCTTTTCAAAAGGAATCGTCCTTGTAAATACTTGATCACCGATAAATATTCAAAGTTTGTTAAAGCAATCGCAGAGGTAGAAAGAAATAGAACTAAAGAGGCAGTGGAAAAGGTGAAATTTGTGTCAATACTTTGTGATAGGTCCACTGACCAGGGCATCGTTGATAATGAAATCGTGCATCTACGTCTACATCTAGAGCTGGACTTAGTACAAAAATGCTTTGAAGGCGATCAAAGTAGGAGAAAAGTCTGTCTCTGGGTTTTTACTAGGGTTATACTACTTTTACCACAACAGTCCATTGAATAGGGCTAATTCGAAAGAGTCATATAAATCCCGTGGAATAAACATGAAGAGGCCAACAAGAGTTGGTGGCATCAGATGGGTTGGCCATGTACTACTGGCATTGAAAAACATGTTGCATGGATATGCTGCCATCAAGCAGCATCTTTATCAGGTCCTTATTTAATTGAATGCTTTTCTATTTATTGCAAGAATTAAGTTAAGACAAACTTTGAATCTACCTTAATCTAAGGATATTTTGATAAAAACACATATTTATTTTCAGCTTGCACTTGGTCATGTGTGCAAACTATTGCCAAAATTAAAGCCCTTGGTCTCTATAAGATTTTTGTAGATGACAACAACATCATATTTGCAGCTTTTCTTCTTGACATTTTGCGTCTCCTCCAAATCATGTCACAAGTATTTCAGCGGGGAAAAAGTTGTGTGGCAGATATACACAGGGCTCTCAACTCCCGTCTTTCCTCTCAACAGATTTTCTGAGATGTAAGTAAATTTAAATACATTTGATTCATTAAAAACAATACCATTTTATATGACTAGTGTGGCTGGGTTTGAATTAATGAATACTCTTGATTTAGTGATGGAGCCTATCTGACAAAGCTTTGAAATACTTTTAAAATGCAACTCCTCCTACAGTTTTGGTCTTCTTCTATGGAAGTAGGGATCGCATGATTGACAACAGTATTTTTTATTCGTAAAGTCCAGGGAAAAGGTGATGGCCTTGACCTGATCTTGCCTCAAAAACAGTCACATTTAATCTCCATGATACCATCAGTTTGTGAAAATGTCTTCTTTATTCTGTGAAAATTTCATTAATTTTCAAATGCAAGAAATATGAAAATAATCCTACCTTAATGCTCGATACGTACTATCCGAGTGAAATCTAAGTATTAATGGTTTACGGACATCATTTTCTATATACATGTAGTGTATTATTAGAGGAGTAGGTAAGAACTCTGGTGCACCTATTTCGGAGTTTATTTGCAAAATTTATTAATATATAAGCATATATTTGGTGCGAAATTGACAGATTTTTGTAGCAGATATACAAAGTGAAATTATGTTAAGAATTCGAAGGAAAAGAAGCGACTGAAAAAGACCCAAAACACGGCGTTAAATCATCCTTTGAAATTGGTTAAATGACTGTAATGTAGATTGTTTATATGTGAATTTAATGACAAAAATTTGGTATATCATTATCTTTATTAGAACAAAAAATATTGATACGATGTAGTTAGTCATCACTCTCTAAATAAAATCTCAAAGATGATGTCGATTACTGGTGATGATGTCGGATGCCACTGATGGTTGATATCAATACTGACGACGTCGAGGTTGCACAGAACAATATTCTAACCTATAACCGAATGGATTGTTCGGGTTTCTGTGGATGAGAAGTAAATGCATATAGATTAGTGAAACAAAACAATTATTTTTTAGCTACTAAACAGCAGTTTCAAACAAAGTATTCAAATTATGTCCAGCAACAGTATATACTAGGTTTTTTAAGCGGCATCTGGACTGCTGCTTTATTGAAAATCGCCACCGAAAAAAAAATTTACGATGGAGTTGTCGGGCACTCAGTTGCATCATTCCAGGGAATAGATATAGGACACGAACCTCCATTCATAAGTATTACCACGAGAAAGCGAGCTTTCGGCAAGAAGTTATATAAATAAAAATGAGTACGTCGAGTCTCTTGGACCAGAAGTAAGTTAAAATTGGAGAGTAGCTCAAAACTGGAGAAAGGTCGTATTTAGTGATGAAATCGTAATAACTGTACGAGGTTGTGAGGTTGTTAAATTCCGGAGAAATGCCTTCCTGTGTCGGCCACCTGAAGCGTAGTACTGACAGGAACTTGGAATAATGGTGTGAGGTTGCATTACCTACCAAGATCATGATTATGGATTTTCATAGACCGAAATATGAACATGCAGGCGGAGAAAGGCCAACCCCCATTTGGACTGAGAGAAATGTACATTGTTTTTGAAAGCTGGGGGGGGGCAGAAATAATGGACATGACCCCATTCTAAAAAGTTGTGTTTAGGTTATATGCTTTTGAGTCATGATAAAAATAAGTTCCGTACACGAAATTCCTGGTTTAGAAATGATTTATTAGTACAGAACCAGTGCAAATTGATAAATAAATTGTGCAATTTGTGCAAATTGTAAACAACGGCACTAATACTATTTCTATGAATTCTATTTTCTATGAATTCTATTTTCACTTGTGATATTTCCCCTGACCAAATTCTGCTCAACATTGACTAAGTGTATCGACGTGCTAGACTATACGGAATAGTGACAGTGTGTCTACTCTTGAGGAGATTTTATGGAGTTTCATACTTTTTAATGATGCATATTTCAATAAATGGAATTCGGAGTGTATATCACTTGACTTGTGTACCTTCATCACTTAGAAACGATGCAGTGATCACATGACCAGGAATGGATAAGTATACAGCGTTCGACGCGTTTTCTTGACATGCATCGACTGCATATAGACACGCTGGTTGTTTGTTCAATTCTAATGATAAATTTCAAATTTCGTTTTACTGCTTTTTGTTTCAAGTTTATTCTTTATATACTGGCGTACTGTAAAAGACGCACTCGTGCATCTAAATGTTTCTTCCACGTTTGCAATTTTTTTTCTTTCTTGTTTTTTTTACAACAATTATTCAGAAATATCTTATTAAGACTGTTTTATCTGTTGTGGTTTTGAAATGCCTTTATCAGCTGATGGATTCACAAATGCTTTACCATCTGATATATGCACAAGTCGACAGCCAAGAAAATTTTTTATTCAAGTGTAACGAGCGCATTGGGGTATATATCGTTACAATACGAAAAGGTACATGTACAGCAAAATTCGGTTATAACGAAGTCGCTTGGACCTATGAAATTACTTCGCTATATCCCTGATTCGTTATAACCGTATAACAAATTCAATTAAATTATATATTTGGGGATTCAAGATGACTTCGCTATATCCGGGAATTCGCAATATCCGTGTACGTACTAACCGAGTTTTACTGTATATGAAAGAAATATGGCGGAGTACGCCTATAGTAGGTATAAAACACGTCGTCGTACATAGATGAAAATATTGTTTTTTTAAGAATTCTTGTCAGCTTTAATTCAAGCGTCATGGAATGCCAATCTCTCAGCAGAGGGCGTATTACGCTTCGCTACAACACCTCCGTCAACGTATAAATGCCAGGGTTCTTGGCAAAACTACTTTTACCTATTACATAATAAATTATAAATTTAAAACTTCTATATTCTTACTTAACTTCTTAAATAAAAGATTATATATTAGAATTAGAATCAGATATCGCTTTTTCACCATATCTCACAAGGGATTATTTCTCGGCAGGATATTACGAACGTGGAAAATTTAAAACGCATTGCCGATAAATATCAGCAAGGTTTAGATTTTATAGACAAACAACTTGCAGTATTAACACACATGAAGATATGTAAAGGTGTTATTCTTCGTGTGGGCCAATATAAACAATATTTGAAAAAAGCTCCTCCGCTTCCGCACTACTTTTTACACGTTGACAGAGGTAAAAGTGGAACGATAACTCTGGGTAGAGATTTATGGAATATGTATCAAATATACTTATTCAAATACTAGTATCTTACCCCACACTAAATCGGCCTTTCAGAAAAAAACCTTTGGGAGGAACTGATACAAAATATCTGTCAAAGGTGTAGATGTTAGGGTCCACAATGCAGTTCTTAATCTCCAAACCTATTTATTTACAATGAAAGTAGACTTCATGTTATTGATTCTCAAATACATATATTATATTTAATTAAATACTTTAAAATGTCAAGTTGATGTTTGAGGTGTTGGAATTTGAACGAACTACTGACCTTTTTTTGTACAACATCGCATTCTTCCAGTCGGGAAAGGTGAATTGGCAGTGCATCTCGAACCCAATGTTATATCTGATGAAACTATGGATTCATAATTTTGTCAACAATAAAAGCAAGTTCAACACAATGAAAGTAGACTTTATGTTATTGATTCTCAAATACATGTTTTATATTGAATTCAAAACTTTTACAATGAAGCGCATTGAAGTGGTAATTTTTTTCGTTTGGATGGAAAGTTTGGGTGTTTCATATCGAACGTCAATTATCACTTAATGACACACCCATTTCTTTAAAAACGTGAAAGAAATATTCGTCGTAATCATTTATGATACACCACTCTTTAATTTGTGACTAGCGACATGACATGCACTAAAATGGAGCTTAAAAAAATGAATCGGAGAGTTCGAGATCCCGCTCTTCTGTAAAGCACGTATTGCAACGAATATACACATATCTATGAATTAATCTTGTCTGTTGCAGTTACCACAACACATGTTAAGGTCGAACACGTGTTTGCTTTGTGTTCATGTAGATCGTCAATTTGATCGGCTATTATATTTACCGAAAACCTGTTCTACAGGTTTTTGAATAAACATTTGACCGTTTTATCTCTTTGTGAAGAAACAGGCTTGACTTCATATGACAACAAGTAAAATTGATGCAAAGCATCAAATCGGCCGCAAACAAAATGTAGCATTTAAAAAAGTACTTTCACATAAAAAAGCATCCATGCAAGGCGCACAAGATATTCAAAGTAGAAATAGTGATCATATTTATTTCAGTCTGTCTTCAATATCAAAGCAAAATGAATAAATAATTGTTTTTTAAATGGGAATTTTACTGCATTTGCTCATCAAATGGATTCATCGATGTAATAAAGTCAATGATAAATGATAAAAAATTATTGTCTTCAAAATGATGTAGGCCACTCAAGATGAACCACATGCTGATACATGTACCCTGGATGTTTGTCACGTGATAATGCCTATGGTTACTGCAGCGTAGGCTATACTGCAAGGCGCGGTGCAAAATGTAGAAAAAATATCATTGTGTCATTCGCAGCAGTGGCATATTCAAAACAAATTTTACTGGTTCAACAACTTTTCAATTTTTTTTATCATCATGCACTTTTACCACGCCATTATATTCCGGAAAATCATGACGATTTCCTTTCATATCTTATGCACACTCCCATGCGTGGGAGTAGCTATAATTGTAAACTCTTTTTATTTGACCATAAATTATTAGTTATCTGATAATGAAATTGAAACATAGTAACAATCATTACATAATAACAACAATAAATACTTAGTTTAAAGTAAGTTTTAAAAATATTTTACTCATGATTTTATATAAGTTATCATTTAAGAATTATTTGACTGCACTAATAGAAAAATAATGTATCATCTCCCGCTGCTGCGTCCGATAATCAAGATAACTCAAAACGTTCCATTCGTTCCATTCGAACGGAAAATTTCACCACTTCAATGCGCTTCATTGAAAATGTCAAGTTGATATTTGAGGTGTTTAAATTTGAACGAACTACTCACCTTCGACTTCCTTTGGATAACATCGCACTCTCCCATCCGGGAAAGAATTGCCAGGGCATCTCCAACCTCTCACTGTAATATCTGATGAAGGTAGAGATTCACAATGTTGTCAACAATAAAAGCAAGTTCAACATCAAATCAGAGAAGTATCAATATTTCTTTTTTTCGTATTACTAATATCTGTTAAATAAGAAGCAAACGTGTGTGCCCACCTTGATAACTACATTTTTTGGTAAATGGCGGTGAGGGAATACAGAGAATGTAGATGCTACCAGTTGATACAGAGTTGATGACGGCTGATTCCAGTTCATTTTCTAAACATGATTCCCTAATAACCCCTGTTTTGTAATACCCGTATCCTTGTATCAGATGCCAGCAACAAAACACAAATACGACAAGTATTTCTTTCATAGTTACACGTCTCTTGACTTGAATCTAAAAATGTAAGAAAGTAAAAATATTAAAAATTCATACACAGGATCCAAGATTTGGGTATATACTTATTGCGCACCAAAAGTGCGCTGTTTCTCGAACCATTTCTCCGTATATTTCAGAATATTATTAACTATGTGTTTCTATCATATTTTATTACTACGTCCACGTCAAAATTGAATGCAGGAAACGCTATGGACCGAATTGCATAGCCACCAAAAATGGTAAACAGGCAATATTCAATGGTCTCCATTTCATGCACATGAAAGCTATTTAAAGCGGTTTAGGGTAATGTTATGTTGTTCAACTAGTAAAAGCTCTATACTAGGAACACGCATAGAAATATTTTGAGATGGCATGTTAAATATACGGAGAAATAAATCGAGAAAACGGTGCACTTTTTTGTGCGCAATAAATATACACTTTTTTTTCAATGGGTGACACTTAACCTCCCTGATTGTCCATCCTAATTTTTCAGACCAACAAGCTACAGATCTGAAGGTAGATTGATACTGGTTAAGTGGTTTAAGAGAAGCTGAAAATGATCATTAATTAACGACCGACACAAGTGGCACGACTGGCAAAAACAGATAGCAATTGGACTCCTTAGTGACTCAGGGGACCTAATTAAACTCAATCGAACACACTACAATAAAATCAGTATTTGTACAATGATGTCGACGCGGTATGAATCGTACATCACAATGACAGGTACATTCTACATGTTTGACACTAGGAATAAAATCGTTGACTTTCTGAGACTGTAGCTCTATTGGTCTGTACATATAACGAAAGAAAAGTATAACTTTGATTTGAAACTTTGCAACAGACAGCAATAAATGGATTTATGTACCTTCGTATACTCTTCTCATGCGCCAATCTATACTGAAATCAATCCAAAACAACTGTTGGAGGAGTAGCGATTTTAAAGGTTTTTTTTCTAAATATTCTATTTTTAGTAACCATGATAACACCGTTCAACGAATTCAAAAACTGATGCACTTTATCATGTATTTTAGTGTAATCTACTTATGTGCCAAGTTATATTGAAATCAGACCAACACTGTAGGAGCAGTAGCCTTTTAAAAGAGTTTTTTGAATTTTTTTTAATTTATATTAACCATGGCAACACCGTTCAACGAAATCAAAAACTGATGCACTAAACTATATCTCTTAGTGCAGTCTATCATCTGTGAGCCAAGTTATATTGAAATCAGACCAAAACTGTAGGAGGAGTACAATTTAAAAAGATTTTCTAAGAAAATTCAATTTTTGTAACCACGGCAACACTTTTCATCCAAATCAAAAACCGATGCATTAAACTTTGAATCTTAGCGTAGTCTATTTGTGCTCCAAGTAAGATTGAAATTAGATCAAAACTGTAGGAGGAGTACCATTTTGAAAAATTGTTCACAGACAGACGGAAGGACGATATACACCTTACTATTGCATTAACTCTTATGGGCTCTGACCAGTAGAGCTTTAAACTCGTAGAATTCTTATTTGATGTTACAATTGATAATTATTTCACACAATATGCTATCTTACCTGTTTCCAGGAATTATGGATGTTTATTGCAGAATTTCGTTATATATAAAGGAGCAAGTGTATGGAAAAGACAACGGGTCAGCATTGACAGTGCGAACGCAATTCATTTTAGAAGTGTAAATTTCCTCTGTCGACTATCAGTCTAAAATGTCAGCGTTTAAATAGCTTTGGATGTGTCCCAATACGAGTGAAAAATGCTCGAAGCAAAACAATCAACTAACCTTTGATACAAGTACAGAAAATACAGATCTTCCTTCTAATGCAATTTTTCACAGGATTGGAGCGCCATACTCTTCAAGCAATAGACACAGCCGCCTGAAATTTGACCCAAAAAGGATAAATCAATCCTTTTTTTTAATGAAGATACATCATTCAATTTTTTTTTAATCTGTGTATGAAACGATTTACATTTAATTTTTACATGCAAAGATGTTGCCTATAAACATGTCATAAATGTGGTGAAAGATTGCAATAAGACTACAACTGTAGGAGAAGCTTTTAATAAAATTTCATAGAATTTTTAATTACAGTTGCCATGGCAACATCAATCATCAAAATAAAAAAAAAAACAATAATGACAATAATGTATCTCAGTGTAGTCTACTTAAATGCCGCATTATATTATAATCAGATTAAAACTGTATTTGGAGTAGGATTTTTAAGGTTTTTCCTAATGTGAAGAGGTTCAAAAATTTATTTTTATAATATCTTCAAATCTGTATGAGGTATTTACTTAAAACTTCTACAGTGTATAAATATATCATTGATTAATAGATAGAAAGTATCATTTGAAAACAAGTATTTCAAAAAAATATTTTTTTTAAAAGAAAAATATATCAATATTTTGTATATGTAAAAAAAAAAACCTGTTTAATGCTTTCAATGTTTCACATTTACGTTTCCATCATTTAAACGTGAAGAATGGAGACTTGACCCAGTCATGTTCAAAATTCATTTTCTATTGCTCTAATAAACCCATTTTCCACTTACAATGCTTAACTGTCAACTTTGAAATAAAGATTATCAAATGATAAGTCGTTCAGTAAAATAAATAAATTGTTTTGAAGGTGACATTACTACATTACTGAGAACGTGATTTTAGAAATATATAACTTTTCCGTGAATTTTGAAAATTGAGAAACAAATTATCTCGGTGCTGGGGATTGTCTACGCCTTGTACGTCCTCTTTCTTTTTAAGTTTATAAACCGTTTTGGAGGTATTGAAAAAATAATTTTTTGGATATGCTGACCTTTGGTGAAACCTTAATTGGTATTTGAATAACTACTGCAAGGTAGTCATACATATAGCTACATGCTTACAAAAGTATAGAGAGACAGGACATCATTATTAGCTGTGACTTAATTAAATATTATCGATTGCCATTACAGTACAACTTTATCAATAGTCCTTATGAAGTTTTCCTGACCTCTTTGTTTAGGTGGCTCCCCCAAAACACGTTGACATCCCGGTGTTTTGAAGTTGGAGTGGGAAATATTTTACTTTATTTTTGACGATAAAAACTTCAGACTCCTCTGGTACATGTCAAATGTGAAAGTCATATCTCTTCTCAATCAAAAGTTATAAGGATATATAACATTTTTGAAAAGTAGGTTAAACTTTAAGGTCAAGGTCACAGAGTCAGAAGTCATGATACATTTAGAAAGGTCTTGTAACAGTACATATATATATATATATATATATATATATATATATATATATATATATATATATATATATATATATATATATATATATATATATATATATATATATATATATATATATATATATATATATATATATATATATCTGCTTTCTACATAAGGGGTACCATACATAATATTCTGCCTTAAGGGGACATTTTGTATATTTTTTAATCTTTTACTTTGTGATGTTTTAAGCGCAAATTTATATATAACAAAGAACAATTTTGAGTTTTTCACAATGAAAATTAAGAAAACATTAGTTTTTAAAAATATATATAATTTGGTGTCCCCCTAATATTTAAAAACCATATTGTATGCCTTAAGGGGACATATGCAATATATATACCTTAGGGAGACATATGCAATATATATACATTAGGGAGACATTTGCAATATATATACCTTAGGGAGACATATGCAATATATATACCTTAAGGAGACATATGCATTATATATACATTAGGGAGACATTTGCAATATATATACCTTAGGTAGACATATGCAATATATACCTTAAGGAGACGTATGCAATGTTTTTACATCTGAAGTAGACCGTATATATTTACAAGTATGGATACATTCAACCTGATTTCGCCCAAAAATATCTTGCATTTTTAAATATCAAGATTTGTAGACGTTATGTATAGAAACAAATAATTCTTATACTATAATATTTTATATTTACCAACGCCTTTCCATCCTCCCCCTTTCTCTTTTTCTGGTAACATTCTTTTAACAGCATAACGTGTAATATTTTTTGGCTTTGATCTGTTGAAGTAGCAACCTATAGTAAACTTTAATTTTATATAAAAACTTTAAACCTTTAATTAAAGGTATAATCCATTAATGACTATACCATTTATGATAAAATATGTTTAAGGAATCACTGTCTAGTTTTGAGAGTATGCCAGGGCATCAACAATAGTGGGAAACATGGGATAATTTGCATAACGGACGAAGCCCGTTATGCTAAAACTATCCCATGTTTCCCACTATTGTTGATCTCCCTGGCATACTCTAAAAACTAAACAGTGATTCCATATATTTCCATTTAATTGTGAAGTAAAATTGTAGAATTAGAAATTAAGAATATAGACTAATCGATTTAAATTACACGACGACTTCCATGACAATTTCAATAGTCCTCGCACACTGATGTCAAACACAAAGGCAGCCGCACGAGATTTACATGCATATTTGGCTTCCTTTAGCGTCAGACAGAGAGACAGATGCGCACGAGATTTGCATGCGTATTACGCCTCCTTACCTGCTGACCTATCGACCTGCCTAATTTACATGTCGGCAGAATTATCAAGAATATACTCCCAAAACTTTCAAAGAGTTATCACAGAGAAAAAATTTGAAATGGAAATATAAGTCAATTATCACCTGTTTTTTATTCCATGCACTGACTATTATTATTAAATTTTAGACCACTTTCCATGTCTGCGCCAAGTAGGCAATTCTTCATATCATTTGTCTAATGTTAGATAACCTCAATTGCGTTAACATGGTCGATATAAACGAACTTCGAAAAGAAAATTTATTTTTCAAAGTGAGTTAGCTTGGTCCCAAATTTAACGCACTTTGAATTTTTTCAAAGTGCTTAAATTTTCATAGTGCGTTATAACAGTGTGTCCACGGATTACGCCAATATTTAGTCGGGCTTAAATTGCGTTTTCGTACAAACAATATCCTCAGTCTCAGGACTAAGTACTTGACACCGCTGCATTGCACATGAGCAAAAAACATAAACATACGGTCACATATAATTGAATTTAAATGAAAAATCATATGAGTTTTAGGGGACATTAATTGTAGAAAACATGCATCTTAAATCTACTTATTATAAAATACGGTATTAACGACTTGTAACATGCCATCTGATTAAACTCTAAAAGTAAAGGTCTAAGAAAAGAAATGTTTTTGTAAATGTATTTTTCACACACACACACTCTCTCCCTCCCCCACCCCAAGTGTCACCCCTTGGATTTGATA